AAAATTCTGTCATTAATTACTCACCCTCATGTCGTTCTAAACCCGTAAGACCTCCGTTCATCTTCGGAACACAAATTAAGATATTTTTGATGCATTCCGAAAGCTCTCTGTCCCTCCCATAGACAGCAACGTAAGTAACACAATCAAGGTCCAGAAACATAGCAAGGAGATCGGTAAAATAATCCATGTGACATCAGGGGTTCAACCGTAATATTACGAAGCCACAAGAATACTTTTACTACGCAAAGAAAACAAAAATAACAACTTTATTCAACAATTCATCTCCTGAGCGTACTCTGCAGGTGATGAGCAGAGCTGCTTACCTTCAAGCATGATGCTTAGAATTGAGGTTCATCCGACCAGAGAATCTTGTTTCTCAGACTCTGAGGATCCTTTAGGTGCTTTTATGCAAATTCCAAGTGTTTTTTCATGTGTCTTCACTGAAGAGAGGATTGAGTCTTGCCACAATGCCATAAAGCACAGATTGGAGGAGTGTTGCAGTGATGTTTGTCCTTCATGTGACATCAGGGGTTCAACCGTAATATTACGAAGCCACAAGAATACTTTTACTACGCAAAGAAAACAAAAATAACAACTTTATTCAACAATTCATCTCCTGAGCATCACCGTAACGCCATTTTGGAGAGTATCCACTGAATGTAAACAGCATAACTGTGTCAGCCGCACCACACGGATACGTTGTTTTCTTTCAAATCAAAGTGTAACTAAATGTAGAAAACGTATCCATGGAGGACGTGGAGGAGACAAATTGTTGAATAAAGTCGTTGTTTTTGTTTTCTTTGCGTACTAAAAGTATTCTCGTAGCTTCGTAAAATTACGGTCAAACCCCTGATGTCACATGGATTATTTTACCGATCTCCTTGTTATGTTTCTGGACGTTGATCGTGTTACTTTCATTGCTGTCTATGGGAGGGTCAGAGATCTGTCAGAATGCATCAAAAATATCTTAATTTGTGTTCTGAAGATGAACGGAAGTCTTACTGGATATTAGCGTCCACACCAGCGAACGATATCGTCTGTTTATTCTAAGCGCACATGCGTCTGCCGCTTTAAATTCTCGAGCTCGTTATAGCAGGATGGATTCTGATTGGCTGTCTTTTTTTTTATCGTTAGTGTTTTATCGTTCATCAGCTGGAAAAAAATCGTTTTGAAAGTGATCACAACGATATCGTTCCTCTGTATCGTTATCGTTATAGTTGTGGTGTGAACTATGCTATTCTTTAATATTGAGAACGATTTTTAGAACTATATCTTTATCGTTATCTTTATAGTTATCGTGCTTGGTGTGAACGGGCCTTAACCCTTTTAAGACGTGTGTGCCTTTCCAAATCATACCCATTCAATTGAATTTGCCACAGGTTAACTTTACTCGAAATGTAGTAACATCTACAAGAAATATGAATGCTCCTGAGCTAAATTTCAACTGTCAACTGTCATGTTAAAAACCTGTTTTTTTGCTTTGCCATTATGGTGTATGGAGTGAAGAATGATGTGGGGAAAAAAGTAATTTAAAGCAGTTTAACATAAGGCAGCAACATAACAAAACGTGAAAAAAAAAAGAATGAAGGGGTATGAATACTTTCGCAAGGCACTGTATACTACCAGTGTATGCTATTTGAAATTCTATATATTTCCTGTGTATATATAGTGATTAACATTCCCTTGCCTCTCGTTTTCAGTCTCTCTTGTCAATTCGTCAAGATGACAAGGTGGTATGCCCCAGGACCAAAGAGGTTTTCAACTTTTCCCAGGCTGAGAAGGTTTACATAATGTGATGGGAGCTCCACATAAGTTTTGGGACGTTAAGTTGCGATGCCATTGTAGGCTGGGCGAATTTCACATTGACACCATTTGTTCCTTGTTCCACGCAAGTGAATCTCATGGACAGTATGTCCTCGCCCTCAACTGGCCTGCAAGACCTTCATTGAACTGCTGGTTCAAAATCACAATGGAGTCGGTAAACGGACAATTGTGACGAGGGATTTCTTTTTTGTTGATGCTTTTAAAGGGTTGATAGTTTGGCATTTATTTAACTGGTTTATTTTCAGTAGTGTAAAACAAACCAACATGACTCCATATCAATCTCAAAAGAGCTTCTGCCTTGTAGTGTGTTAACAAAATTAATTATTAATTGTTGGTTTTTTTGAACAAGGGCACCCATTTAGGTCATTATTTTTAGATAGCTTGTGTGTAGGTAGTTGTAGAGAACACTCTCCGATGCCTTGCTTTTGCACCTGTGAAATCTGTGACAACTTGCATTTATATTAATGTGATATTTTTTGACTGACATCCTCTGTGTGAGGCAACATGTTAAAAAAAATTGTAGCATTTATAGCAATACTGCTCTTTAACCCGAAGTCTGTGGATGTACAGACTTAGAAAGACATGGCGGTGTTCTTTGGTGTCAGGCTTGTGTTAAAAAATCACATTAGTTTACACTTCAACAGTAAATACTATACTGACTTACTACAGACTTCTTATATCATCAACATCATTCATCAAATAAAACATTCTGTGTATGACCAAAGTCCTTTTAGGACAAGTATGCAAGATTGAATTTTGATGGATATGCCTAAATTTGGAGCAATTTTTTCAACTAATGGTATGTTGTGTTATATAAACAATATCATATATTGTAATTAATAAGGTCATGCTGCATTTAGTGCTGTTTTGTGACTAAAGGTTAAATAGCAAACTTAAAGCAGTTTTTGTTTTGGATCTCAGGGTAGATTCAAATCTCGCAGTTTTATTACATGGACATGGAGTTTTTTTTTTGTTCTCCAATGTTAAAATTTGTAATTATCCAGCCTTGATACCCTCATTTTGTGATGTAAATGTCTTGTGTGAGTTTTCTTCTGCTGCAAAATGGATTAATATGGATATTTCATATATATAGACTAGTTTTACATAAGTCTTACATTATTAGAATTTCCAAATTCATTGTAAGTAATCTGTAGAGTCGTTCTGAGCACAATTTTCAAACCAGGAAATTGTTAAAAGTACATTTTGTTAATGTTCCCCATGCACACATCCCTAGAAAGTCTCAGGTTTCACAGGATCAACAGCAGGTAACCAACGAGTGGGATCTTTGAAAGGCCCTCTGGTCTTTTAGTTTCACTTTAAAGTACACCAACATCCGTTCCTGTTGGAAATGATTCTCCAAGTATGTGTTTAATTGTAATTGTGGAAAGACTTGCTTAGAAACTGTGCATGCATGTGTATTTTGGTAGGGTAGATGGGTTGTTCGTGTCCAATTGCCAATAAAGATTGATTTGATTATGTATTGTCATTGTCTCCATGAATCACAGGTGAACTTACACTTGAGAAAAACTAATTTCTTACAAATTAACATTTAAGTAAAAGTGAAACACTATTATTACTTATTACCTATCAGAAATAGTAATGAGTTTAGCAGTAGTGTGCAACTTGTAAACTTTCTTTACCTCCTAGATAGGGAGCTTTGTGGTTTTTGCAGACATATTGTAAGATAACTTGTCTGACAATTAAAATACTTTATTCGAAAAATTACTATAATTTATGCAACGTTTTTATCTTCACTGGGTTTTTTCATCGCGGTCATTTCTTACAAATTAACATTTAAGTAAAAGTGAAACACTACTATTACTTACTACCTATCAGAAATAGTAATGAGTTTAGCAGTAGTGTGCAACTTGTAACTTTCTTTACCTCCTAGATAGGGAGCTTTGTGGTTTTTGCAGACATATTGTAAGATAACTTGTCTGACAATTAAAATACTTTATTCGAAAAATTACTATAATTCATGCAACGTTTTTATCTTCACTGGGTTTTTTCATCGCGGTCATTTTTCTCATGACGTGACTGCTTGGCGCATGCGCAAATAAACGCGTCAGGAGCGGGAACTTTGAGGTAATTTTAACGGTCGGTCATCACTACAGCACTGCTTTACAGGATAAATATATCTTCAAAATGTACTGTAAGTAAAAATAAAAAAAAAACGTTATCACAATTCTACATATATCACCAACGTATATGACCATTTTGCCAGGCCTATAAAATAGCCTGTAATTATAATCTATTTAAAAGTAATGATGGCGTATTATTCAAGTCATGTATTTTTAATTCTTAAACTTACCTTGACGTATACCTATACATTCATAGATGAGACAAAAGAGAAACGAGAGGAACCATACGATCCGTTGTTTCTCCCATTAACAAAACTGGGCGCTAAAACGCGAGACCAGCAGTTCATCTGCATCGTGGGCAAGGTGCTCAGTCTCGGCTGGCTCAAATACAAGACCTTTGAAGTGAGCTTACAATTTTGGCATCTTCTGTTTTTTTATTATTACTATTTTATTGAGTTGATTTAAGTGATGTAACGTCAAATGTGACTTTCTTTTTTACCCAGGATGTCAATGCAATTGTGGCCTTGTTGCTGCCCTCATTAGCCTGCAGATGCATAGACAACAACGACTTACTATCTTTGCAAGAGATTCTTGTCACGGTATGAACGATCATGCATATAAGATGTAGAATGCTATTGACTATTTTTCTACTCTTTCATGTGGCCGGTTATATAATTCCTAATCCATGCTTTAAATACCTAACCTTGCCTTCAGATGGATATAAATGCTGGAGATTATGATGGCAACACTGTCATGCACAGAGCTTGTGAAAAGGGTAGAACTGATATGGTTAAATATTTACTGTCTATTGGAGCAGCATGCCAGTTGATCAACCGCTTTGGTTGCACACCTCTGCATCTTGCCATAAGAAACAAGTAAGTGATTTTGAGAAGATTTAATTATTGGAATATATATATATATATATTTTACACCATTGCCTTACATATGCCAGACACTTTGACGTGATCAAGATTTTGATAGTGGAAGGAGCCACAGTGAGCCTAAATCCTGGGCGAGTTGGCATGGAACTCATCAAGTCAGTGTTTCAAACTACAAATGAACTTGTCAGTCTGTTGTAGACATTTTTTTAATTCAGCTGTCTTCTCTCATTTAGGGCGGTTCTGACTAAAGACTGTCAGCTTTTGCAAGCATGGCACTTAGCTGGTGCAAACATGAACCAGGGTGATTATAATGGACAGACCGCTTTACATGCAGCAGTGGAGAAGAGGGACAAGAACATGGTGTCCAAACTTCTTGAATATGGCGCCACCCCAGAGGTATAATAAAAGCAGATTTTTGTCATCATATTGTTCATTATGAAAACATCTGCTTTAAATTGTTCTGATTGATTGCATTAACAAGTTGAATGTTTAACAACCCATAACTGGCAACGTGTAACATGCATGGTTTGTCTTTTCCCTGTCAGAATAGGAATATGTGGGGAAGGACAGCAGAAGATGAAGCAAGACAGAAAAATCTTCATGACATTGTGGTGCTCTTCAATCAACTTTACTCTTTGTAACTCACCCTTCAGCACCTTGCTGTGTAGGACCTAGTCAAGCGGACCAGCTGATATCAGATACAAAAGCATATTACTTTCAAGTTTTTTACCTTAACAACCAAGTTAATTCTTAGTAAAGAATTCTAAGTGCTAGTCTAAGCGCTGTAAATGGCTGACAACTCTCAACTCTCCTCCTAATGTTTACACAAGAAATCAACTCAAATAAAGCAGGCATTTTATCATTTATTTTAAAATGAAAAGCATAAGTTGGTGCATATGCATGAAAAGTTAAACTAATCCAGGGTTAACAGAGTCTAGTTGAGTCATTCTTGGTAGAACTGCATGAACATATTTAATTTGTACAATTAACACGTGTACACGTTGTCGTCATCTTGAATATCCTTTGCATGTAAATTTTGTACTGTCCAGCACAAGTTGCTGTCGTTTGTTGTTGATTTTAGTAGACATAGCTGGCAGTAAAGAGGGACTGTGTAGATGCCTGATCAGCCTGACCTGAGGGTTTGTATTCACCTTTTGATGCAAGACTATTGATCTGAAGGGGAAAAAACAAAAATCATCAATATATGCAGCTTCATCTAATATAGTAGGCCTATAAACTGACAACACAATAAAGCACAATATAATTTAGCAGTTTTGAAATGTTGCTCTATAGTTGTGACTTGATTGCCCACATGCCGTATTTTTAGCTTGAATCATAACGTCATTGATTACCTTGGCACGTGTGACGAAGGCGTCCTGTGCAGCCTTCTTGTTTGCTGCTTGTCCCTTCCATGCAGCTAGAGCCGAGGCCTGGAGAGCACGGCCATAAGAGAAGCTCAGCTTCCAGGGTCTGTGCAAAGGAAGCTGGTTCATGGCGTTCAGATTCAGAGAGGCCTCCTCCTCACTTTGACCACCAGAGAGGAAGCAGATGCCTGCGAATCAGAAGAGAGATGTTGCAACGTTTGAAGAGCACTCAAATGGACACCATCCTCTGAGGACCAGTGGAGGACTGTCTTACCCGGTACAGCAGCTGGCACGGTGCGTCTGAGAGCAGTGACTGTTGCCATGGCAACCTCCTGAGGGTTGTACTTCTTGGTACAGGAATGTCCAGCAGTGACCATGTTTGGTTTGAGCAGAGTTCCCTCCAGATATACATGGTGGTCGGAGACATAGCTGGCAGTAAAGAGGGACTGTGTAGATGCCTGATCAGCCTGACCTGAGGGTTTGTATTCACCTTTTGATGCAAGACTATTGATCTGAAGGAGAAAAAACAAAAATCAACAATATATGCAGCTTCAGCTGATATAGTAGGCCTATAAACTGACAACACAATAAAGCACAATATAATTTAGAAGTTTTGAAAAGTTGCACTATAGTTGTGACTTGATTGCCCACATGCCGTATTTTTAGCTTGAATCATAACGTCATTGATTACCTTGGCACGTGTGACGAAGGCGTCCTGTGCAGCCTTCTTGTTTGCTGCTTGTCCCTTCCATGCAGCTAGAGCCGAGGCCTGGAGAGCACGGCCATAAGAGAAGCTCAGCTTCCAGGGTCTGTGCAAAGGAAGCTGGTTCATGGCGTTCAGATTCAGAGAGGCCTCCTCCTCACTTTGACCACCAGAGAGGAAGCAGATGCCTGCGAATCAGAAGAGAGATGTTGCAACGTTTGAAGAGCACTCAAATGGACACCATCCTCTGAGGACCAGTGGAGGACTGTCTTACCCGGTACAGCAGCTGGCACGGTGCGTCTGAGAGCAGTGACTGTTGCCATGGCAACCTCCTGAGGGTTGTACTTCTTGGTACAGGAATGTCCAGCAGTGACCATGTTTGGTTTGAGCAGAGTTCCCTCCAGATATACATGGTGGTCGGAGAGAGCCTTGTACACAGCCGCCAGGACCTTTGGATGCAATTTGTTGGGAATTATTTTTGATGGATAATTTGGCTTTGCTCTGCTTTTATTGGTTATTCTGGGAGGAAGCTTACCTTCTCAGTGGCATACTGGCACCGTTGCAGATCATGATCTCCGTCTGGGAGGATCTCAGGCTCTACAATTGGCACCAGGCCATTCTACAGGAACGAGGAAGAGTTCATGAGAAAAAAGGATCTTGTGGACAGTTTGTGAAGAAAAATAAACAAATTACTGGCATGCTATCAATTGTTTAGAGTCATATAAAAGACTGTTTATGGACAATAAATAGGATCCCATAAACAAAGCACATTCTGTTAGACATACCTGTTGGCAAATGCTGGCATATCTGGCAAGAACGTTTGCGTTTTCAGCAATTGCAAGAGCAGAGGGGCAGCTGTCAGAGATCTTAAGCACACAACGCCACTTGGCAAAATCACAACCATCCTTTTTGTATTGGGCACAGCGTTCAGACAGACCGTCCAATCCTGAGTGAAACGGATCAAGCAAAAATAGCTTCCTTTAAAATGGATACAAGTCAGGATAGATTACTGTCATGTTAAGATGCATTTAAAAGAATAGTTCACCCCAAAATGAAAATTCTGTCATTAATTACTCACCCTCATGTCATTCCAAACCCATAAGACCTTCGTTCATCTTCAGAACGCAAATTAAGATATTTTTGATCAAATCTGAGAGCTCTCTGACTCTCCATAGACAGCAAAGTAACTGAAATGTTCCCAGAAACGTAGCAAGGACATTGGTAAAACAGACCATGTGACATCAGTGGCTCAACTTCAATTTGGCAAAGCTACGAGAATACTTTTTGTGTGCAAAGAAAACAAAAATAACAATTTATTCAACAATTCTTCAACCACGAGTTACCGTCCTCTGCCATTTTGGGGAGTACTACGACGCATGTGCGCGCTTTCCCCTGAACGTAATCAGCGTTGTTTACATTCAGGAAAAAGCGCACGCATGCGTCATGGTACTCTCCAAAATGGCGGACGGCTAACTCGGGGGAGAATTGTTGAATAAAGTCATTATTTTTGTTTTCTTTGCGCACAAAAAGTATTCTCGTAGCTTCGCAAAATTAAAGTTGAGTCCATGTGACATCAGTGGCTATTTTACAGATGTCCTTGCTACGTTTCTGGACCTGGGAACATTTCAGTTGCGTTGCTGTCTATAGAGGGTCAGAGAGCTCTCAGATTTCATCAAAAATGTCTTAATGTGTGTTCCAAAGATCAACGAAGGTCTTGCGGGTTTGGAACAACATGAGGGTGAGTAATTAATGACAATTTTAATTTTTGGATGAAACCTTTAAGTAAAAATTTACCCTGTGTGGTTGTCTCTCCATCTGTACCACCCAATCCTGCTGTGCCTTTGTCCACCTTCAGGCACAAAGCACAATTAATACTTTTATTTATAACTAGGGTTGCAAAAAAGGTGGAAAATTTCCAGTAGATTTCGGAAATATTCCAGACATTTTGGAAACTTTCCAGGATTTTTTGGAATATTCCAGGGATTTTTGGAAATATTTACGGAAACTTTGCAACTCTATTTATAACATTACATGGCAAAACTAGTGAAAGGACCTTGTGTTTGTATGCAGAAAGAAAGAAGTCTTCTACATTATTCAAGCAGTGCTTTGGTTATCTATAGGGCAATATCAAGCAAATAAATGCATAAACACATTTAAATAAGTTATTGAAAAAATCTTCAAGAGTGCACCTAAACCTCACCTTGATACCAACTACGATGCCCTTGTTCTTGATTACTTTTGGAAACAGAACTCCCTGGGCTGATTTCTGGTACAGTGTTTCATGGAAAAAGATGACACCACCAATATATTCAGAGACTGAATTGTCTACAGAGAAGAGTATGTCGCGAAAGCTGCGACGGTTCTCTTCAGTGTTCTCCACGTTTGTCTTCTGAAAACGCTTTGCCATGGTGCCTAAAATATGAAACACACATCTAAGAACATCTGGAATGCAAGCATACCATTACGTCTTCAAAAATACAATTCATTATTACTACAACCATAAAGCTGTTAGAGGACATAAAATAAGACGACACTGTTAAAAAACAATAATAGTACCTATTCCCCAACATCTTAAGTATTTTTATTGCTTACTGTTGATCAATTAATATATGCATATAGTTGGTACTCTACTACTCCATACAAAACACCACACATTCTTACCTGTAGACTCATCTGCAGCCAAAATGCCTTTTCCAGTAGCCACAATGCGCTGGGCAATTGTGGCGAGCTCCTTCTTCTGCTCCGTAGAGAGAGCTGGAAACTGATGTGTCATGCTGGGGAAAGAGCAGAAGGAAAAATTATTTGCAAAATATACCAAAATCTGTCATTTAAAGAACTTTTATTATTCGGATCACTGGGTTATTCACTGCTATCTGTAAATATTTGCCCTGACTGTTGAACTGTAGTCCAGAGAAACACACTGGCTCCTCCCACTGAACAAACAAGTCCAAATTTCCTTGCGAATATGCAAAAAGTTTCACACAATTGTGCAATATCGTTAAGTACTGTACAAAAGTGTCTTTCATACAATGTGTATTTATGAAAGAAGATTGTCCTCTTTATTTCGCAGTAAACGAAAATGCTTTACGTATATAAAAACTGCAAAATGCAGTGCCTGCATACCATAGATAATTTGCAAAATGCACTATCAAACCAACATACAACCAAGACAGTTCTGAAATTTTGAAGAAATCTGTGGACTATTCTTATTACAGTGATTTATAACTTGCATTAAAGAGCAGAACCTGAATATTTAGCGAAATCATTGCATTGACACATCTGCAGTTTGTGAATTCAGTTCTACGTGCTCACGTTTTAAAACAGGTAAGTTTTTGTTTTAACTCTACCCTTCTAAATAAATATTAATACTAATGTGGCAGATGCGATGATAATGACCAAAAAAAAAAAAAAAGATTTACAACTTTAAAAACCATACTTACTTGAATGGTCTGAAGGCGAGCAGCACTATAAACTACAGATGAAGTGGCCTCTCCTCTGACTGACGCCGGTGGGTTTGAGTGAATCGGGACCGAGGGATTCGAACGAGTCGGTATTTATCCGAGCGCAGAGGCTGGACTGAGAGTGATGCGAGCGGGCGTGCTCTGCCTCCAGGAACGCCATTGGCTGGGATATTGGACGGGTGTGGGAGAATATCTGCGTATGTGGAATTTGGAAGAGACGGGTTTTAACTCCAAAAGTTCCATAATACAGCCATCCCTGGCCTTAGTGTTACACATATTTAAAATAAGTGATAAAAATAAAGATTTTACTTTTGAGAAAGTAAAAATTCAGAAAGTTTCCTGTGAGGGGTAGGTTTAGGTGTACGGTTGGTGTAGTAGGGCGATATAATTACATCAACAGCAGTTGATGAAATCATTTTGGCAGACAGACGAGACGTGGTCTGATGAAAGGGTTTGAGCAGTCAGGCCATTGATAAACTTGCTGCATGATGAAGACAACGAGACACAGGCACTTTGAACCAAGAGAACAAAAATCAGGGGATTTCACAACATGAACTCTGCATTCAAAGGCAAGAGTATCAAATGCATGCTCAAGGAGAGAGTCCAAATAGTAGTTTGTGCACAGAGCGTGACCCATAATAATAACTTCAATGAAGTAAGTCTTTGAGTCAAAATACACACACACACCTACCCCTTACAGGAAACTTTGTGCATTTTTAGATATTCAAAAAACTTCATTCTGTGTGATTTATTAGCTTGTTTACCTGTGGGGACCTCATTTTAGGTCCCCACCGTGACACGAGTCCCCATGAGTCTGTGTGTATTAAGGTTTTAGTCCCCACCAGAATAGAAAAACAGGTACACATCACACACACACACACACACACACACACACAAATGATGGTACTCACACATTACCAGGAGTTTCCATTAACTTTATGGTTTTTATACTGAGCTAATAACATTGTCTATCCCCCAGCCCTCCTAGAAACCTTTCTGCTAGTTTACATTTTCAGCAAATGTTTCGTATTTCATTTAGCCGTTTGAATTACAGGAACAGTCTCAATGTAGGTGAGGTCAGATTTTCTTACATTGTGAAGCCATTTTTGGTTTCATAATGTAGGTCAAACCAGCGCACACACAAACAAACACATAAAGAAAAGGCTGCTGTAGTAAACACAGCAACACAGTTAATCTGGAAACAACACTACTTCTTTCAGTTATTTACAATAACAAATACATTTGTTGATTTATTTATAATTTTTTAGAAATTATATGCTTTAACTAGTGTTACATTTTAAACTTACTTACGTTTATCTGTTCCATAATAGCCTATATATAGGCCAACATTTTTTTCAGCATCATTAATCCAGCTTTCAGTGTCACGTGACACTACAGGAATCATTCTAATATGTTGTGTTGAATGATGTTGAACATACCTATTGCTTGATATTTTTGTGAAACTGTGATTAGATTCAGATTATTTGATGGGAAGAAAGGTGATGAATATGCTACAGAAAATACAGCATTTATTTAGGCTACAAAAATTATTGATTTGCCTGAATATCTCATGCTAAATTAATCAAGGCCACATCTCCTCTAAATCAATGCAACAAAAAAGACATTATAGGGTTAAGTTGTGTCGTAATTTGCAAAGTTGTTCCGAGTTGTAGCGCTGTAAGTTTTGGTTGGACAGCAACTAGAGATGCTACGATTTTGGGTATTACAGAAATCTCAGTTAGTCCCTCTGTTGTAATACCGAATATTCCTCCTTGGTTGCTTCCTATGCCTCAAGTAGATTTTCATCTACAATATATGATTAAGAATGAGAAAACGTTATCTAAGGAGGTTGTTGTTCAACAATATCTAGATCAAAATTACTCTTCAATGCTCCATATCTTCACAGATGGTTCTAAAGATCCTACATCAGGAAAGTCAGCTGCAGCTGTATATATCCAAAGATTACAAGTCAACGTTCAGAAAAGGATAACTAATTTTGTATCAGTCTTTACAACAGAGCTAATAGCAATTTTATTAGCTATTCAATGGGTGGAGGAAGTTAAGCCTACTAGGGTAGTCATTTGTACAGATTCCTTGTCAGCTTTAAATAGTTTAATAAGTGAACAATCAACATCAAGAAAGGATTTAATCTATGAAGTACTTATAAATCTGCTTAGGATTCAGGAAATTGGTATAGTCCTGAGGTTCTTATGGGTACCTGCACATGTAGGAGTACTAGGAAATGAAATAGTTGATAAACTGGCCAAACAAGCAACGAAACATATGAACGTTGAGGTACACTGAGTAAAGTAGAAATAAAAGGAAGAATTAAAGAACACATGAATAAAAAGTGGCAGGAAATGTGGGACAAGGATTTAAAGGGCAGACACCTATACAATATCCAAAAACAAGTTGGCAAAGGGAGAGTATGCTTTAACAATAGAAAAGAAGACATAATAATTACTCGACTTCGAATAGGACATTCTGGTTTAAATCATTCATTATTCACAATAGGGAAACATCAGTCAGGATTGTGTACTACATGCAGTGAAGCAGAGACTATTGAGCATGTACTTTTACATTGTGCAGTATATACCAAAGAAAGAGAGGAGTTATTTAAGAAACTGAGAAACAGGAGTAATTAATTTCACTATATCAAATCTTTTAAGTTTTGCCTCAGGACAGACAAGTACTATGAGACAACCGCCATAAAATCGTACAAGAAGAAGAAGAAGTTGTAGCGTCGTAATCAGTCCTTCCGCCGTGGGGCGGCGCTGCAGTTCTGGCGACAGCTTCAGCAGCAGAAGAAGAAGCAGCGCTGTGTTTCCGGCGGAGACTCGGCCGCTGGATGAAGCGCAACAGCTACATCCTCAAAACCATTTCACAGTCAATAGAAATCAAAATTAGGTAAGAAATGAACACAAGTGCAAAACCTACTTAGTTAGAGCGTTATTAAACAATGCACAGCGAGTTTTCAGCGCTGAGATGCGTCAGATCTCAGTGTTTTCGTAGATCGGGGTTGTGCTCGGGATTACACCGGCTCGCCGCAGTTTTACTACTAATAATATATTTTCTTACATTTGCGTAACTGTGTAATGTATTAATTACGGCTACGTCTGTGTGTGTTAACGTGTCGCTTAACAATAAAATACCATTCTATTTTCTGAAATATGTATACCATTCAGTACCATGGTATTTATTAAGGTAGGCTACCATGATATTACCATATGATACTCATCAGATACCATAAGATATGATCATTGTAGCGCGCTACTAGTACTTTTGTACTAATCAGTTTAGGTTTAGTGTAATGATTAGTTCTATTTTACACTACTACTAATGAAAATGTTATTATATTACTATTATAATTAATAATAATAAATAAAAAAAGCAACTAAACTAGAACTAAAGACTAGAATCTGAAATGTGTAGATCCCTCTGTCAGGCATATTTAAATTTAAATATTAGTATAACGTACGGGTTTAAAATATGGTTAGTGTTTACAATAATTATGATAAACATCCATTGTATTTGTTATGCAACATGAATAATACAATAAAACAGCAACAATAATAACAACAACAATTATTATTATTATTTTATTTTATTAGCCAGCGTATTGTATCTTCAAGAAATGGCTAAAAACACATCTTTTCCATCTTTATTTGACCCTCTAACTCTAGCACTCTCTATTCTAATTCTATTTTATCTGTTTGTTTTCTTTAAATTACAAAAAAAACACTTTAACCTTTAAGACTAGCTCTCTATTTGTTTTTTAACTGCTTGTTTTCTTTGAAAAAAGCCTCTAACACTAGCTTTCTCTATTCATTTTCTATTCTATCTATTTGTTTTCTTGTTATTTACTATATAATTACCGAAAAACTATTTGTTTTCTAACTGCTTGTTTTCTTTAAAAAAGGCCTTTTCTGTGTTCTTTTTCTATTCTATCTATTTGTTTTCTTTTTATTTATTATATAATTCACAAAAAAAAACAACAACTTGCTAGTACTTGTACTGCTAACTGAGACTTGTCATAGCAAGTGTTGGTTTTGATTGCGTCCATTGTCCGCATTTGTAAGTCGCTTTGGATAAAAGCATTTGCTAAATGTAAACTTAGACCTGTTTTAAAGCATAACTTAAGGATCTGAACATTTCTCCAAGGAATTTCCCCTGATTTCTTGATTCTCTTAATTGTCAGGGAGTTTCTCTGCTCTATATCGATTATCGACTGTGTAAACTAAAGGCGATTTATTGTAACACAATTCAGTAACAATACATTAGTGCTGGGCGGTATGACCAAAAAGTTATATCACGGTATTTTTCCAAATTATACCGGTTTCACGGTACATGACGGTATTTTTTTTTCATGCATGACCGGGTGTTAA